CATTCCTTTTAACAGGAATACAGAAGAGGCTAGTTCCTTGCCAGTCTCATTTCAGTGCACAAGTTCAAAGACTGCGGTTGCTCTCCATGAAGTGCCAAACAGAGTATCAAATGGAACAAGAATTTGGGAAGCATTAACATCTTCCTAGGAATGACAGTTTTATTATTTTATAAACAAAGCCAAGACATCAAGTAGAGATTTCAGGAAATAAAGGCAGGACTTGCGCACTTAAGCCCTGCCTAAGTTCTAAACTCGCATCGATCTGCTGCCTAGTTGCCTATATTCTTAACATGAACGCTTTACACGTTAAAAATGTAAATATTGATTGAATCAGGGACTGAAACCCATGTCTCCTGTTCCTGCTGAATGCTGTATCTACTAGGTCTACTTACTATTACTCACATAACGAATATTTAATTGTCCTGTACGAGGTGAAAATACCTAATAGGAGGGGTAAATTGGCTCCAAAACAACATATAGTTTTATACTTAGGGCATCTTTCTGGATTCAAATCCTCTCAGGTGGAAAAAGGAACTCTGCTTTTCTACAGCCTGGGTAAATGTTCCCCTCACTGAATTATATGGTAAGAGAAGGGTGATACTCCACCACTGGTCTTGAAGTAAAAGACTGACCTTTGCTTAGTATTTGAAATAAAAGGCTTAGGAGCCTAGCTCTAGGAGAGGGTTTAAAACTATTAAGGAGGTAAGAGGTGCCTCTCTGAAGAACAATCCAGGATAAGATGCCCCTGTCTCAGTGCCAGGAACCAGAACTTAGTATGTTCATCTTCAGTTCAGTTCTTCATATTTGCCGTCTTATTACTCCTGGTGAAATGCATGTGAATGGAGGGAAGTGATGATATTTAGACATTTCAACTCTCAGCCTAACTTGTACAGAATTTTATGGGACACGTGAAGAGTTTAGCTCCAGGTTTTTGTTCCAGCTAAATTTCAAAAGCCCACTGAAAAGAATGGAGATGTTAGAACATCTTCAAAAAAGGTCACAAAAGCAAATACTAGACAGTTTAAAGCAGCCTAAACATACAGATTACTATCAACACCCACTGTAGTGCTGAAATACTATTCTCTTGAAGGGAATGGTAGTTTGCATTAAGAATGCTGACAGCTCTATCAGCATGTGAAGTGCTTGCATACTTCCTGGGTAGGGCAGGATATAACTCCGAATAATACTACTTTTTTCTCCATTTTACTAATTAAGTCTGAATACATATACTTTGACTGGTTTAGTTGACAAGCCTCTTGGTACTAGCCAGCTTACCAGCATCTATGTTGGCTCCAATACACAGACAAATGTCAGTTTATATAAGAATAGTTCACTCATAACCTAAACATAGCTGAGAGAAATTATAGGGGCTATAGTTCTGCCGAGATTAAGAGTTTCTGATCCCTGCTCTATCTACCAGCCCTTTAATAGCAGATACTCTGAGTTCTGGTTCCACAATTGTTGTAAGAGTCCATAAGAGTTGACTCTTGAAAAATTGAGCAGTGATGATTAAAATAATTGGTCAGCTAGGGATAACTGGTGTAATGAGCTATCATTAAAAATCATTTCACTGATTTTTTGAGTTAACAATAATTTGTATGTATCCAGTATGAAACAAATATGTAAATTTGTATAAAAGTAAGGACATGTCACTAGTTTTGTCCTGCTGACAGCCAGTGTTCATTGTCATGGTTACCATGCGATATACAAGAGCAAAAGACCCAGGCAGGTTTATACAGATTAGGAAATGGCAACAATTATTTATGCTGAAATCTAATCATTACAGTAGGAGAATATTAATCAATAAAATGCCAGGGCATTGTGGGGGCTTCTACACACAGATGCAGTGGGTTTTTCCTTTGTCGGAGCATAGCATTTTGACTTTGTTTTAACTAATCTGAGAAGATGTTCCATGTGTAAACAGTTTGCAGTACGACTGCCTCAGTCTTGAACCAGTTTTTGGTAACAGAAGAAAGATGCAGCTTTTTTTCTGAAAAGATAACAACTTATTATTCAGCTGATTATTTTTTCTGTGTTATCAGCATCATATCCTCTTACTGACTGACTGAAACTCAGCTTTCCTGTTTTTTTTCTCTTCTGTTTGCATAGTAGAAGAAACACAACTATCAGAATGAGGCTTAGTTCATTATTTATAGAGGTCCTCTAGCCACCCCAGCTGTAAGGCTCTCCAAGTAATATAATTCAGGTCTGACACAATTCTATTTATTCCAAGAGAATTACATCACACAACTAGCATATTGTCTATAAAGATGAGATCATGACCAGTAGTTTATTTCCAATATTGAATTCCCTATCAGTTTTATGATTTTTAAAATATCATAAATATATCTTTTCATTAATACATATGCACACCAGTAGAATTCAGCAGCATGACACTTGCATTAGAAAAGTATCTATTTTTTGGATAGAAAATTACCAGTGTTTAACAAGACAGAGAGGCCTAATAGGAGAAAACAGGTGACATATACTGTAGGGGTTATATTTTAATTATTTTTAGACTTTATCAACTGTCAACTTCAGTTATATTGTGAAAGATTTAGTTAGACTGGTAGAAATGCTTGCATGGATTGTTGTTTTCATATAAGGGTAGCTTCTTTCAGTTTAGCTGTTTCCAAGCTTGGTTTAAATCAAAAGAAATGTATCAACTAAGCCTTCAACATTATTCTGAAAATCCCATCCCTAGTTAAACCTGTCTCTGTAGGCAGATGGTTCTGGAATATATAAGTGTTTTGCATTGATTGAGTTTAAATATGCCTAATGGCATTTTAAGACTATTGTATTATTATTGATACAAAACTGTAATTTTTATTGCAGTTAAATAAAGAGAAACATGTTTTAGTTTCTACAAATGTACCTACTTTACATACACACGTAATTAACTTGCATATACAAGTATGAAAAGAGATTTATGAAAATAACTTAAACTTTTTGTTTCATTAACACAAATCACAGTTATAGCAACTGTGATGTGTATCCATTCTGAATTACAGTGTACTCTCTAAAGGAAAGAAGGACAACACAGAGCAACATAATGTTAACAGCCAGGGAATTGTTGGTCCATGAGTGACCATGTATCCAATTTTAAATTATTTGGCAGTTATACTTTGCAATGAGCAATCTGAAATGCCAAGGGTTAATAGAGCCCATTTCTGGTTTCACCCAAGTCAAGATGACCTTGGAGTGTAAATTCATGACAGAAATCATAGTTTTCTGCTTGCCTCTGGGATCAGATGAAGGCAGAGAAAGAGACCAGTTGTATCCCTTCAGTCCTTAAGGTTCACATGGTCTGAAAGGGTTAGCTAGAATCCTGAGCACACTTGGCATTATTTTGACTTGACTCCAATGACAGATGTTCATCCCCAAAAGTAAACCTGGCCAATATATTACAGTATTTCTTTATTGAAGGTGGTTACTATAGGAATTGACACACAGAAAAGTTCAGGGTATAACTCTCTTGGTAAGACCTGGATGTGTGCACTTCAGTAGAATATATCTGTCCACCTAGTTTTAGTATAGTAACATTATATTAAAGAATGCAGTTTGCAGCTTCCAAGTCTATGAATACCTGCTCTGTCAAAGGCAATCCTCACAAACTATTAGGATTTGAAGGATTTGCCATCAACAATTTTCTTTAGTTTTCAGTGAGTCTCATATTCGACTTATGCCTTTATATCACAGTACTTTGGGCACTAATATGCATTTTCGTTCATTCATCCATATGCATTTCCCACGTGGTTTCTCAACATATCCATTATTTTTAAAAGAAGCTAAGAAACAAATATTGATACCTATTTAATATTTTAATTATCACTGGTTTAATATTTCAGGACCACACCTTGCAGATTTGGTTGTTGATTGTATGCTAAAAACCTTCAGTAAACACCTCACCTGTATTAGAAGAAACAAGTTGCAGTTCCCTTCCTCTTAAAGATATTTGCAAAGCCTATGAAGAGTGCAGGTTGAAGGAAATGTAACATTGCAATCATACAGGCCAGGTTTCTTTGCATAGTGGGATCTGTGATGATTACAGATTGCTTCTTTCTGTTAAAGGGACCAGGGGCATGGCTTTTCATCAAACTGTGATTTGTCCTTCATTCTGTATCACTCTACACCTATGCTTTGTTCAGCCTTATTTAAAACATTACAGAATTTTTTTTATTTTTTTTTATTTTTTATTTTTTTAACACATCACCACTTACCCAGCACGGCATACTGGGCCAGGGTCCAGAAGGGGCCAAAGTTTTGAGATGAGCCACTGCCAGAGACCGACAGGGTCAGTGACCCACAGCCAGGGAGACTGGAGCCTAGAAGCTAAGTCTGATATCTTGGGCTTGGGCTAAAAGCCCAGTGAGAGCATAGGGGGAGGAGGCTGGCAAGGCCGAGTACCATACAAGGCAAAGGATTGTACAATAACAGCTGTGAGGCATGGGGCATGGTGTAGGAATAAACAGAGTCACGCAATGAACCCTTAAGGCTACAGGTCTCCTGCAGAGGCACAGACAGGTCGAGAGGGCCTAGTGAGCTTGAGGGCTGAACAGAGACTCCAAGAGAGACCCAGTGGTGATTTGCACAGACTAAAGCTCACTCTAAGGCCCATAAGTAGTGTCCCAAACCTAACCTCTAACAAGGTGTGGCAGGTGGGTGAGCAACCAAGGGAGGGCCACACTAGGGACTGAGCTGGGCAGGAGCCACATGGCAACCAGGTGGTGTCACAGCTGCCCGTGGGGCTCAAACCTGCCACAAGGAACCTTGACCAAATAAATCTGCAAGCTCAGTAATGCCAACTTTCTGAAAATACTGAAAACTACACAGAGGTAAGCTTAAGGGCCAGGTTCTAATGCTCTCATTATCACTGAATATTACTTCGAGTAGCCCCATGGAAATCGTAAGATCTCTAACCTTGCCCATATGTCCTTCCATGGTCATGGCTTTGTAGAATGAGGTGTTACTCAAAAGTAATAAGCCGATTAAAGCCGGGCTTGAAATAAGTAGATTTAATGGTTAATCCAAAATATTATATGTTACTGAAAGCAACAGAAATCCTCCCCCACAAAAAACACACATCTCCTTCATCAAGCAACAAGAAGGATTTGGGGTGCTTTTTTTTTTTTTAAAGACCCTTTCCAAAAAAATGACCAAACTTTTTAATGATAGTTTATTGTATTTGGCTATTCAGGTTTTATATAGATTTCAATTTATTGAATTATCCCAGTATTTTAAAATTAGGCTTGTTTCATTTCATCTCAACATAAAACATTTCTCATTTTGACATTGTTTACATGGATTACCAATAAATTTAAAAGTTATATGCAAATATATGAATCAGAAAAAAATGGCAGAGCCTATTTTAAAAACTTCCATAGAATATAGGACAGAATATGAAGGTTTCATCAGCATATAAACAAGTAGAGATTATGATACTGCTGTACATAAATAAACATAAATATTACTGACCTGTGTTCTTACTTTTATATAACTCACAACTTGCCTCATACTTTAAGTTACATTTTTTGCCCTGATGTATTTACACAGAACTTGTCTACACATATAGTAAATAACCATAATTACCTACTGTGCTTTCAGCAGCCAAAAAGCTAAATTGGCTAGGAACATCAAATTAACATTCTTAGAATAATGGTATCGCTAAATTACATCAGATCATACATACTATTACAAAAAATATTGAAAGGAATTTCATGGTATTTATCAATTTGCAAACTGTAACTTTGCAGTGTTGACTCCGAATTACTCCCACAGTAATGCGGCCCTGCAATTACAGCAAAGCTACAATTTAAGGACCATAATTTTGGAAAACTATACTATACTGCCTGCTGTTCTGTTAATAAAACTATACTGATTTGAAAAGGTTGCAAGCTAAATAACCAACCAGGTTGCAAACAAGCCTCTCTGCTAGTGCCATCTTGGAAGTCTGCATGCACTGACTCCAATTTCTTATATTACAATCACTTACTTGAACTGCTTGGATTATCCATGCATCTGAATTACACACAGTATATTTAACACAGGCTCTGTATCCAGTCCAAGGTTTGAGTCTGATACGGTTGTAATGACCTCTCTTAAAAATTATAATGGTTAGAAAATATTTTGCTGTTCTGCCTTGGTGACAAGAGAACCAAATATAGGGTGGAAAAAAGTTTGTTGCTTAATAGAATATTGATAGGAAATTATTATAATACATATTTTTCCATTATAAAACAACAGCAAAATAAAAAGAGATGCCTATAATTACAAATATATACGCCATATGTCTTAAGTATACACTGTATAACCTAGATAAAGTAATTTTGTGCTGAAGTATAGCTATTCTCTGTAGCACCTGATTTAAAGTAAATCCTTGGAGTATTACTACTGAGGCATGCTCCTTGTGATAGTTATTATTAAGAACACAACAAAGCCCTGCATGTCTAGCTGTTCCAATGGGAGTGATGCGTGTTGATCAGGACAGAAGAAACAAAAATTACATCAACTAAAATATGCACAGATACCCAATACAAAACTACACATTGCCTCAACAGTACCTTGGGGTCTGAATCTGTATCTTTAACTTGCCCAAGTTATCCTGTTAGAGTCCAATTTTGATTTCTATTAGCATAAATGTAGGCAAGTCCCTTGAAGTCAGCGATAATGACAAATTTACTTTAACATAACAACACTTGGCCACTGGGATTTCTCATGCTGCAGTATGTCTATTTAGAAGCTACCTATAGATTTCATTTCTGCTTACATTACACTTCGACAAAAGACAAGCACCGTATGGTAAGACGGGGAAGGGGATTCTCATATGTCCCCCTATTTTGCTAAGGAAATACTGATAACAGTTCTAATACAATCTTTCTAGCTCTTGAGAATGCTCTCAATTGTGGCCTTGTCTGCTGTATGACACTCCACTGGTGCATGTGCATGTCTGGGGTATGGAAGGAGCATAAATTAAACATACCTGTTACTTTTCTTTCTGTTCTCCCAAGTAGTGGCAGTATTCAACATTGTCTCCACTGGAGAGGAAATGTTCCTTTCTGATTTAGCCATGTGGCTTTTTTACAGCTTTTCTTTAATCTGGAGAGTTGGCCTGCTGAGGAAAAGCAGCTCATTTTTGCATTATGGATTAAGAGGACCCTGGGATTGTGCTACATTCCTTTCTAGAAAGTCATTGCTATGCAGGCAAAACAGGGCCAGGTAGAAATATTTAAGTGAGGCACAGGTGGAAAATCAGTAATTCCTAGGAAAGTCCACTTGCCTATTAATTGGCCATAGCAGTAGACCAGAGAGTCTGCTTGTAAGGACATTCTAGATAGGCAGGCTGAGTAAAGACTCTGCTGCTATAGCCCCAAGGATCAAGGTAAATTCTCATGTCCTCAGGCTTTTGAGAGACTGCAAAGTTCTTGTGCTTTTAGCCATTTGTAGTCTGGTCTATCGATCACTTTGATCCTTGTTAGCAGAGTACTTCTGAGGCAACAGAGCATCTTGCCTGAGTAAAGTCTACAGAATATGGTCTGCAAGGGTGTGGTCTTCAAAGTAGCTAATTTAGAGCCAACGTCCCATACTTGTAAATCTTTGAGGTGCTTCTGAGAAATCCCAGATTAAATTCTTCCCCTGACACATTTAATCCTTCTGAAACATGTAATTAAAACGCTGATTGCTGTAAATATATAAAAAATGCTGCAAAAAACCCCACAGCTATGTCACAACCCTGACGTTAACAACTTGAGCCTCTTATGGAAAGTCTGAAATGATATGTGATGGTCTCTCTATGGGCATTAGGGAGTGAAAGCATCAGCACTGTCAACTCCTACTGTTAAAATTATGTAATTTAGAAAAACAATTATAAAATTTGAGTGCTTTTTATTGGCCTCCTGGGTTCTCAAGCCTTCAGGCTATACTTCAGTCACCTTTCAAGATATTTTGAAGGTTACAATTTTTTATTAAAAAATAATTTAAGTGCTTTAAGATTTCAGGAGACTCAGATTTGCAGGAGTTGGCAATACTATGCTGTTCTGAAGGGAAGGCATTACAGAGTTTAAATAAAGGCATTTTAAAACAAAGTTAATTTTAAGTACTTTCCAATTAACTGATCACATGTTGTTTTTGTACAAAGATCAAGAAATAACATAGCCACTCTTTAAATATAGCTGCCTTTTACACCAAATAATTTCCTATAACAAACATATGTATGCTTGTTAATAACAGTTACACAGTGGATCTGTAAGTATACAAAACTTGAAACCCACTACTATTAAAAGGATAAACATAACACAAAAAAGCCATGATTTTAAAAAGTACACCGCAGGACAGTACCATAAGTTGATATTGTAGATCAACCTATGAATTGTGCAGAAACACTGACCTTTTCACATCTTTATTTGTAGGCACTTTGTCAGCCTGTGCATGACGGACTTTATCTTGGAAAACATTAGATTTTTGAACTGGCCATCTCCAGATCTTAAAGATTTTTTACAGTTCAACAAGTTGAGAAACATAGGAGACTTAAATCTTCTCTGGCTTTGACACAGCATGCATAACAGCTACTGGCCAAGTAATTCACGAAGGCAGGGCAGAGTGGCTTTTTAGAGACTAGGTATCAGACTAACATGGCTAACAAATCTCTCTACTCATGATAGGCAAGGAGCACAGCTATGTTTTGTAGAGCGATCACTGGTAAATCTTACATCAGAAACCATCCTGCATCTTTGTCCTTCTCCTCAAGAGAACTGCAAAGTCCACTGCATATGGTGAGTTCAGCATGACTGGAAAATGAGCACCGAGGCAACTGAGCTATTGAATGCTTTTGGGCAGGCATGTGGGAATTCTGAGTAAAGAATCTTCCACACGTCCAGTCAAAGTATGTGATGATACTCTCTCTTCTCCAATGAGGGGAATGCAGAAACTTTACTGTCCTACTTCTCTCTTTAGCCACTACCACTCTTTTTTAATAGTTTGCAAAAGGGCTGTTGTTCTGAGAACAGTGGCAAGTTGGCAATGTAATACATCTTTATGCTTTTCCACATACTGGCAGCTCCCTTCGTAATGTCTTCAGTCAATCTCATTCTACAAGCAGAAACCAAGAGCCAGCTTTAGTGTTAGTGTATGTAATGGCAATGCCTGTCTAAGTCAACATCAGCTGTGTTTCCTTTACTCAGAACAGGATTTGCACCAATGTCTCTAGGAGCACAAGACACCATTTCCTGAGATCCTGAGCCATTCTTTCTGCATTCTTGTATTTTTCAACAGGCTAGATCTTGAGCTGAGCAGTATGGTAAAGTCCAGGAGTCTCAGGCATGCTTTAATTGGAGCAATCCATTCAAATCTGAATTGTGTGTTAATTTTCCTATTTAAGGGCAAAGAAAGAATCAGTCATTTGGCTCAGAGAACAATTTACACTGCAGATATATAGTTCATTAATCAAATTACAAAACTGACCTACAGACAGAATCAGGGATGAGAGAGAAGTCTGGGAAGTCTCCAAATGTACAGATCAGATTCATGCACCCAACTACTTTCAAGCCAAGGAACCTGCTTCCAAGTGGCTTCTTTTAAATGTTGACCAGACCTGCATGGTTAGATATGAGGACTTACTTTGATTCAATGTAGGATGGACAAGAAAAAGTGGAGTATCATCAGTACTTTGTGGTTGGAGTAACAATGCTAGTGCTAAAAAGTAGTAATTGCCAAGTGGAGTGCTACATGTCTGAGCAGAGAAAGTACGTTGAAATCATTTATCCAGCACCTTAAAAAAGCACCACTGAAAGATTTAGCAGAGAGCACCATGTAAACAGAATTTTGATCAAGACAATCAACAGAAGCTGCTCAGGGAACCATGGAAAAATATAGGGCACAGAAAATTCTTTGGAAGATGGATTTCCTAAAGGCACAATCCATTAGGTACTGCTGAAGATGAAGGGTGCCCCACAGTAAGCTGCTGTTGTGAAATGTTCCGTGAATCCCAGCAGCTACTCCACTCCTGCAATTTCCTTCCCTAATCCTATGCTACATATAAAATAAGTTTACAAGTAAATATTAATGCAAGAGTCTGAGCAACTTCATTCCCATCAGACTCCCAGAGCACCATTTTCTGGGAAGCTTGCTGGATTGCAGGAGAGTTCCAAAGGGAAAATAATCCTTTGTTGTAAACCTTGGTCATGACTGCTACCTTCCTGAGCTGATCATAGAAAGTTTGTGATATGAATATAGCTAATCTGGACTAACCACTCCCACAATCCAAGTTGACAGATGTCCTTCTTTCCCTATAAATTGTGGAGTCAGAGACTTTAGGGGCTAGTCACATCCTTTCTACCTCTGTGCTAAATTACTACTTCCAAAGCCTATGGAAACACTAAATACTTATTACTAGATCAGTAATAACGCCTTTTCTAGCTGTGATAATTAGACACATGGACGTTGATAAGAACATGGTACAGATAGCCAAAGAACTTATCTCTGCAGCTGCATGTGCCACTATTGATGTAATAGCGAAACCTCCTAGAGTTGTCACAGCTTACATTGGCAAGAGCATAGCTTCTACTAGGTCCTAGAATGAAACCAGCTATCCTAAGATTTTTTTCCCCTAGAATGTATAATTTTGCCTATACTAGGACTCTTACTCCCAGAGCAATAGCAATTAGAGGTGTTATTTTCACACACAGCTATACCAGCAAAGGGTTGTTTGGGTTTTTTTTTAAAGTAGACAGTGCTGTAGAGAAAAAATATATCAGGTAGCAAATTCTACATTTTGTAGGCTGGCTTGTCAGCCAGTATGAGATGCTGGGAGAGCATTTCTAAGAGTCCAGATCTTACTTCTGGAAAGAAATATTCAGAAGTGATGCAAAGTTTCCAGATCAAATTGTACATTTCAGAATCTGTGACAGGATCCTAGTGGATTTTTCTTTAGGAGTAAATCAGACCCGGAGACTGAAAGTGCATTTAGATCTTTCCTCTGAAGAGTGTTTGATCAGGGAAAACTGTTCTGACTGATGACCTCATGAGACCTAAAGATGACTTATAAAGGAGTCTGACATGATGTAAGATGCTATAGATGCCCCAACTAGCCATCCAGGTGCATCCAGACAAACGCTGAAGTGTGTTTTTCCTGAGGACAAATAGCAGCGTCATCTAGTTGTGCTGCTGCTATTTTTCCTTGGGGACTGCCTCTTCATGTGTGGAGGGGGAGGGGGCAAATTGCCCTGGGTGGGGTAGGGGAGGCTGAGGCCAGCACCTGGGCTGGCTGCAGCAACCTTACCTGGGGTCCTGGGGACCTCCCAGGGCTGCAACGGTGACAATCTAGGTGTGCAGAGCCTGGCCAGCAGCCAGTGTGTGGCTCTGGCGGGCCAGGCTCTGGTTTTGGGTGGCGCACACTGCAACCATGTGCTGTACCCTTCTTCTTTTTAGATTTTTTTTTTTTTTTCAGATATCAGAATCTAATTTTGGTTTGCAGCATGGAGAACCTTTTCATGTGTGCCACATGTGTTTTGATGCTGCAAAGTGCATGTGTGCTCTTGTCTGGATGTGCCCCCAGAGTCTGAACTTCTTTTGGTATCCTGTAATTTGGAACCAATCTTGGTACGTCTCTCCATCACTGGCTCCTAAGATCTTCTGATTTTTGACTTGCACTGCCGTGATTCAAGAGGGGGAGAACAGGATGGAGAGTTGAAAGTTTTATTCCCTTAGGAAAGATTTTTCTTGTTGCTCTCCTGAAGTTAGGTTTGAGGTACAACTGCAGTGAAAGAGTCAGGAGCAATGAACTGGAGGAAAAGAATCTGGTTCAAGCGGGAAGAGGTGTAAGTTGGGTGGGGTACGGTTTGCTCCTGGACTAGACTGACTGGCCCTGGACTTGCAGGAGACTGTGAGTGAGATAAGGCTCCCAAGAGTTCTAATTGCTCTAATACTGCAAAATCAATTGAAAAAGTATTGAAAAGTATCACTGCTTTGCAAGGTCACTGTAATATGTACCACGTGAGTACAGTATAACCTCATAAATCTGGGTTTCAAAATTCCAGAATTCTCAAAAATCTGGCACTTTTTAAAAATACAGTACACTGCTTTATTGCATTAAAAATAGCTTCCCAATGATCCAGAAATTTCTCCGGAAGTCCAGAGCTTCTCTGACTGCCATTATTTTATCAGCCTACAGCTATTGCTTTAAACAATACTCAGTCCCACGTATAGTGTAATAGCAAAGAAAATTGTCCTAAGGCTATGCACTTTCCTTACGTTTCAAAAATCCAGAATTTTCAAATTTCCAGCAGGTGCTAGTTCCCAAGGATGCCGGATTTATGAGATTATATTATACCTGATTTAGTCTTCTTTTGACAGTTAAAAATCATTTGTAGAGTATTTGTGTTGTTTATTAAATAATTTCATGTGTGTTATGTAGGCACATGTGGGACATCCGCAAAAACTACTTCACAGTTAGGGCGGCTAGGAGCTGGAACCAACTTCCAAGGGAAGTGGTGCTGGCCCCTACCCTGGGGTTCT